GAACCCTTCCTTCGTAAAATTCGATCCCATACAGATATCACAGGCATTCCCACCGGACCATCGACCTCCCATAAAGTAGCAGCCTTTGCGGATGACCTACTGTTCTTTCTCTCTAACCCTGTCATCTCCCTACCCAATTTAGTAGAAGAATTTCGCCGGTTTGGAAAAATCTCCAATTTCTTAATCAACTATTCCAAATCAGAGGCGCTCAATGTTACTATCCCTACGTCAGTAGCCCACGGGCTCCGTGCGTCTTTCGCCTTCAGATGGTCTACATCAGCTATCACATACTTGGGCACGAAAATACCCAGGAATCTCTCTGAGACATTTAGCCTCAACTTCCCCCCGCTACTCCTTAAGATACGACAGGATTTAATCCACTGGTCCACTAGCCGTTTCTCCTGGTTTGGTAGATGCAATGTTATTAAAATGAACATCATGCCCAGGATCCTCTATTTATTCCAAGCTTTACCGATCCGTATACCCCCCTGGTACTTAAAATCGCTCAACAGGGTGTTCTCGAAATTCCTTTGGGCCCACAAGCCTCCCAGGCTGAAGTTCACCCTACTACGCCTGTCAAAGGCGAACGGTGGTATTGGCTTGCCAGATGCTTCACTCTACTACACCGCTTGCCACCTAGCTAGAGTAGTAGACTGGTGTCATGGGGAAAACCCCAAACCCTGGATGCAAGTGGAACAAGCAGACTCGGGGATCCCTCTACATTGCCTCCCCTGGTGTAGCTCTCTCATACCAGCGGAGATCAGTTCCCATCCGACGGTGGGGGCCACCTGGAAGGTTTGCAGGAAAGTATTTGATACCCCTCATGTTTCGCCACATCCCTCCCCCCTCTTACCGATACTGGGTAACCCAAGTTTCACCCCAGGACTAGAGGACGTAGCCTTTAAATCACTTAGACTGTCGAATTGTTTCAGGGCAAAGCATTTTATTCAACAAGACTCATGGCCATCCAGAACTCTCCTACTGTCGGACTCTAAAACGGCCGCGCTTGGCTTCTGGAGGAATATACAGCTCTCCCACTTCCTCCACACGTTACCACCTGCCACCGATTTTGCTCGCCCTCTTACGCCTTTTGAATCAGAATGTGATAAGCCGGACCACCTTCGACATGCGGTCTCCTTCATGTATTCTTTATTGAATACTCCCATAGCGGATAGTGTCCCCGCTTACATCCGTAAATGGGAACGGGATCTAGGTATTAGTCTTACTTCTACCCAAATAGCGAGACTTCAGTACTTCTCCCTCAAATCCTCCATTCATACGAGAGTCCAGGAATCCGGGTTTAAACTCCTCACTCGCTGGTACAGGACTCCTCAACTCCTCCACTCAATGTACCCATCTGTCCCCAACTGTTGCTGGCGCTGTAATGAAGCCCCGGGTGACCTACTCCATATATTCTGGTCCTGCCCGAGAGTGACTCCATTCTGGTCTTCCGTTAAGTCCTTGCTAGGTAAATTCACAGACAGGGAAATCCCATGGGACCCAGCCTTTTTTCTTCTCCATCACAACTCTTTTCCCAGAAAACACTATAAAATGTCTGTCCTCCCGCACCTCCTGAACGCAGCACGCTGTTGTATTCCAGCATTGTGGAAATCATCTCAGCCACCCACGGTGTCCATGTGGCTCCACAAAGTTGGAGAGGTGGAGAGAATGGAGGACCTGGTCTGGTCCGGAAGGGGCCAACATGCTAGACACTGTAAGACGTGGTTCTATTGGACCGACTTTACCCTGACGGCCGAATTTACCACCCTACTACAGAACTCATCCTGAGGGGGTTGGCGGCACTCACGCAGGCAGCATACAGTGCCCGAGGCCCGGAACACATCCCGCTGATGCTTACCCTCCCTTTCCCATCCCTCTTCCCCCCCCCGCTCCCTCTTCCCTCCCTGCCCGGTCCCCCCTTCCTTCCTTCCCTACTTTTAGTGTTATTTCCATGTGGTATCGGATTAACCGACAATTTGCTGACATGTGGCCGGTTTTGACATTGGGCCCCTTAGGTTCCCTCTGGACCTGCGCCATTACACAACAATCTGTCCATCTACTCAGGAACACTTTCAATTGTGAACTGGTTTATAAGCTTATCTAGATGTATACGCATACCTGTGCCTACTACGCTTGGCAATTGTCAGCCAGGCCTAAGATAATCCCCTAACTGTTGGTTGAATTGTAAGCTCTGACAAGGAAGACGCTTTAGCCACATACCATGCTGTTCTGTTTATGTATCTTTTGATTTATTACCTGTATTGTTTGAAAAATTGAAATAAAGAATTTACAAAAAAAAATATTATATTAATACTTTTTGTTTCAGTAAAGGGAAAAAAATACACTTGTGCAGCCTTTGCAACTGCTCAGATTGTACTGATGCCATGTTTTGTACTGATGAACCCAGTGGAGTACTTGAAACCAAACTGGAAGTAAACAGCTATGTAAATACATGAAATACATATTTGTGAGCTGTCTTATCTTTCAAAGGTTTATAATTCTATCCATTAAGGTTTGTGAGTTATACACAGAAGGAGGGTGATAACACATTCTTTGCTAGAGTTAAAAGGATACAGTGGTGTCACCTTGCCAGTTTCAGATTGCTGATTGGACAATGAAGAAGCAAAATCATACTCATAAGTCATCAGCTTGAGTCACTTTTCTCTCCCCACCTTTTAGCATGTTCCCTGTCAGTCCATACAGATGCAGCAAAGCCTGATTTACCCCTATTGTTGTGTGTCTCTCTTCCAGTGCTTCTGTGCAACGGATAAAAGGCTTTCTTTTTAAAGAATGAACAACTGAATTAAAAAAGGTGTGGAAATCTACCTGAAGTTCAGCTTTCAACTGGCCCCATACTTTACAGTGTGATTGTACTGGCTCCTTTAGATTTATAAACAACTATGTCACGTGGGGCCCTACTTTATTGGTTGTAAACTTAATTATTGTTTAGGAACCAAATTCCTACTCTTTGAAGGGTTCAGATGTTCAAGCAATCATGAAAGAAAACCTTGTTTGATCACTTCTCTTTCACTCGAGAGATGGTGTCCTCCCTACTTCATAGGGCCTAAATCCATATGCTCATCTAGGGAAGTGTTAAATGTTATTAGACACAAGTTGTAGGAAGGTCAGATTATGCACCTTCAACATTTCACCAACCTAGTAGGTCTATGGACAACTTTTATCACACAATCCATAGATAGTACAAACAGAGCAATGACTGGAAGAATATGTCATGGAGCAGAAGTGAAGTGGAATGTACCCTAGAAAGAGAGTGGGGCCCTGAGCAAGAGAAAACTTGTATGTCAGAAGGAAAACTTGTATTGTATACTTCACATACCTTGCAGGCTTGCCCACAGTTCATGCAGAGTGCTGAAGTGAATAGGTGGATAGCGTCACCATATAATCATAGAAAAATAAGGATCTTCACCAGCACACCTTTGTGTGGTGATAATCCTACACTTTATTCACATAAGACAAGAGGCATCACAAACCAATGTTTCAGGACCACGTAGGATCCTGTTCTCAAGTCAGAGTATGTATCAGTGTTATCATAACTACTGAGGGCTGTCCCAAGCCATAACACTGGTGCCTTTTATAGTCTCTCTACCAGCTCTCTAACATATCTATGCATATGGAATTCTTGTGCAAGATGCCACCTACAGCATTATCTACACAACATTGTGAGGGGCAGAATGTTCATATACAGTTTGTGTGTAGCAAAATGGCTGGATTTGTATACAAATCGTACTAAAAGTAGACCCATATTAATCGGTTATCATTGTAGAGGAAACACACAACGTGGTAGTGAGTGCTCATTAACAAGTTTTTATTACTTGGACGTGCCTTTTCAGACACAAAGCCACACTGTAATGAGAATGCTTCCCAACAGATTCCCTGACAGTGTACTGCTCCATAGGGGCAAGCCCTTGTCTTCATTTTATAAACACTGTTTAGCTACAATGTGATTGTTAGCCTAGAAATCTTCAGCGTTAACTACATCCCTATTGATGTCCAAAGTGAAATAAAACATGGGAATAGGATAAAGTGTGTTTAAAGCCTCAATTGCTTGTTCTATCAGCAAATAAACCTATCTGTGTTATTACCCCAGAGAGGCTGATAGAAAGTTCAGCTCCATCTTGCAGGCAGTGCTCATGGGAGTTTTGTAGTGTTAAACTGTTGTTTACTTATACAAGCATGTCAGAGCAGGCAGTGTGGAGGAAAATCATTCTTACCACACTGACCTTTTCTGTAATTTTTTGACGAGTTCAGGGAGTGAAACAGCTGGCCCTGAAACACAGACATAAAATGTATGTTGATTTTGAATCCGTTACAGCTGTGAAGATTCTAATGGGGATAATTTAGAGAATAAAGAATAAAATGCATAGAAAAAATAATCACAAAAATGAAAATGGACGTATGCTTATTAATGGTTGCCACACTACAGTACACTACGATCATTATTGCAACCTTTTATTTTCAATCAACTGTAAAATTCCCCCAAAAAACATTGCTTAGAATTGCAATATTTTATTGAGTTAATGATTAGAGGTTGGGAACACATTCCAACACATTACATATGCCTTCTTCTCCGGCAAGGCGGCAACGTCCCCCATGATCTGTTCAATAAAGCTGCTCTAAAAGAATGTTCAGCCAATCAGGTGACAAGGGACAGACTCCGATTGAAGTACTAGATGGATCCTCCCAACCTCTCCTCTCGTACATGTGCCAACTACAGGTGCCCCTGTCAGCTTCGGAATTCAAATCCATCCAATTAAAACATGAGATGACTTTCAGTGAAAAGACAAGTCAAAATCATAAGTAGATACAGATAGCTGGAGTTATATGCAAATCATAACATCTCTATGTAACAGCTAAGCTGGGCAAAACATCAGCCTACTTTTAAAACATTCTTATTGGTCCTTTAACGTGATAAACAGCCTCTTGTACAAATGGAAGCCTTGGGTAGTGGGAGAGTCAAAGCCAAGCTTGATTTTTATAGGAAAAGTAGATCCAGGTCTTTGAATCTACTGGCCATTACTAGAGATGCTCAGATACGAACTACCGTACTCGGTACAAGTACAAGTTCATGTACAGATGCTTTTCCAGCTCTAAGACTAGACTAGAGAAAAATAAAAAATTTAGGAGGCAGCTTTTATTTTTAAGGAGCATACATAACTCCTGGGATTTGTGCATCCCTGTTTTAATGTATGATTTTATTTTTCTAAATATATATAAGGGATGCACCCATACCAATTTTTGCAAGTACTGATACTTGTCTAAGTACTCACAGATACAAGTACTGATACATTTTTGTTTATTGTCATGTGA